CATCCAACCTGGCCTTAAACACTTCCAGGGATGGGGCCTCCACAACCTCTCTGGGCAACCTGTTCCAGTGCCTCACCACTCTTGACCACACTCTCACCACTCTTGACCACAACTCTTTAAGTGCGACCATCCAGCCAATACCTTATGCACCGAGTGGTCCATCCATCGAATCCATGTCTCTCCAATTTAGAGACAAGGATGTTGTGCGGGACAGCGTCAAATGCCTTGCACAAGTCCATGTAGATGACATCAGTTGCCCTTGCCTTGTCCACCAACGCTGTAACCCCATCATAGAAGGCCACCAAATTTGTCAGGCGCAATTTGCCCTTAGTGAAGCTGTGTTGGCTGTCACCAATCACCTCCTTATTTTCCATGTGCTTGATGTAATCCGTCTGACTTGGCTGTTCAGTAATTTTATCCAATACCTGATCAGAAGAGTAGTAGGTACATCTTGTACTTTTTTCTCTTTCCAGTTTCCTTAGTCAAGTTTTTGCCTTTTTGTAGAGCCAGTGTTTTTGATCCTGATGGATTCTTTCTTTCTTATGATAGCCACAGCATCTGGATTTATTTTGTGAAGTTTAAAGTTTTGGAGTGTAGGGCAGGGAAATAAAGTGAGGCAGAGTAATTACGAAACTCCGTAGCTGTTCTGAAAATCTAGGTTCTGCAGTGATTGGTTTGCTGATCTATGTATTTCAGAATTTACATATCTTGTATGTAATACCTATGGATACCCACTGTTGTTGCCTCTGTACAGCCTTGGTATGATAGGGAATACTTTGAAAGAGGTAGTAGGAATACTAGGAAGAGTCTAGAAGACAGAAACAAATGCAGTTGTTCCTTTTCAGGAGGAAGTTTGGAGGGTAATGTAATTTTTATTTATTTATTTTTTAAAATTTGAACAGTATTGGTTGTTTAGAACCTCATACATCATTCCTGCATGATGCTCCATTTTCAGTTTCTTCTGTTCTTGCCAAAGTTCATGTTTGGGGTGAAACTTCTCATGCCAGCTGTCTGTCCCAGCTGGTTTCCCACTCGCCTCACCTTACATTTCAACAAAAAAATGTCCAATTGCTATCAATACACTGAGGGAGGGGAGAAACACAAAAACTAAAATACCACAATTTTGTCCGGTACTCATTCTGTAAGGAGCCTGCAAGTAAGTCAGTGTGAATTAAGAGCAGGTAGCACAACTTCAAAGTTGGGTAGCTTGTAAGTTTATCCTGTGTTTGCTCCTCCTACTCCTGTGTTAGAAACCTAAGCTGCTTATTGCTTGTATCTTGTTTGCAGCTTATTTCTGTTGTGAGATGTCATTAGTATGTTAAACCAGCTTACGTGTCTGAGGGACACCGAAGGCTTCCCTGCTGGACTCAGCTGTAACAACCTCCTTTTGAACTTGCAGTTACATATATGTCACATGTATTCTAGTTTTTACTTGGAATATACGTATTTCAAATTCAGGAATGCTGTGCAGCATTTTAAAAACTGTTGTATCAGCTGTCCTTAGTAAAAGCCAAAGAACAGAAACTATTTTTTTAAATGAAAAGATTCTGAACCAAGAAAAAATCCTGTTAAATGAAAGCATCTACCAAGTAATACAGGCATTTACATATGCAACTGTGTTAATAAACAGGCAAGGTCTGCTGGTAGCTGGGTTTTGGTCTTTCATTTAACACTAATGTACTCATCTGTTTACTTGTAGACTAGCAAAGCAAAAAGTTGACATCTGTTGAGTTACAATTGTACCTTTTGCTTTCAGATCACACTCGCTGTAACGTTTGGATTCTGGATGGAGACTTATACCATAAAGGGCTATTGAAGTTTGCAGTTTCTGCAGAATCCCTGCAAGACACCATTGTAGTCTTTGTTGCAGATATGTCTAGACCTTGGACTGTTATGGAGTCTTTACAGAAATGGGCCAGTGTCTTGCAAGAACATATTGATAAGATGAAAATTCCTCCAGAGGAGATGAGAGACATGGAACAGAAGTGTAAGTCTGTGCATCCAGACGTTCTTGTCCTTTTTTTTTTTTTTTTAAACTATTGCAACTTTCTTTTGTAATGATAAATTTCTTCAGATTAGTGTTTTGAGAATGGGTTGGATAAGAATTACTTTGAAGTTGTGATTACAACTCTAATTCAAACAGATTATTAGGCTTTAAAATAACTCTTCCAGTTTTGCTGTGCTAACAAAACATCAGGTGAAGTAATGGTCTTAATCCCTTGCAGTAATGAGATTTTGGTAATTTTATTTTTAAAAAGGCCACTTTTAAAAAAACTAACTTAATACACAATCACATTTTTTAAAATAGTGACAAAATTCAGTAATGAAGTGAGCTGTGCTTTCCTTGGCATCTAAGCCAGGTCCCGTTCCTCTACTCTGTCTTCCAGTAGTTCTCTTTGCCCTTGTTTTTCACAAGGCTCAGACTGTGATCCTGGTACATCTAATTGTCTCTTACTACAGCCATTCCTACCCTCTGACTTTAGGAATGCTGTATAAATTAACTTTCTTTCCTGGCATATCTGTGGCAGGAAAGAATCTGGTGCTGGCAAGCAGTCATCGCTGCAGTATTGTTTCCTGCAGCTTCTTTTCTTTCCTAAAATAGTTTTGAATGCTTCTTGAGAGTTTTGTCTGTTTTCATATTGAATTACTCCAAAATAAATTCCTTCAGCGGAAAAGACCGTAGCAACATGCATTCCTTTTCAGCTGAAGTATAGATTCAGAATGATCCTTGATGGCTGCTAGCTGTACTGTTCAAACCTTGCAAATACTGTCTAGTAGCTTCCTCAGATTCACTTTAGGGAGCAGTGTAATCTGTTTGGCATGTGAGCATTCAGACGTGTTTGTACAGCTGATCTACTTTCTGAGTGTTAAATACTACTTTCCTGAAAGGCTTGTGCCTATAGCATACTAGATAGAGTTTAAACTTAATCATTGAAACCACCTGGGTTTGATCACCAGGTTATATTATAAAAAAAAAAGTAGTGTCTGACAATTTTTAAGGGAAAAGCATTTTTTTTTTTGTACGTGTAAGAGATTTTTTTTAGGAATCGGAGATGGAAAGGCAGTTCTAGTCTCAAAATACAGCAGCTAACTGGATTTGCCCTTTTCTGAGACACAAAAAATTTTATGGCAATCCAAATAACTGTCGAGTCTAAGCACTTAAATTTTACTTTTGAAAAGAGAAGTGTTTTCAGGCTTCACTAAGAGCGTACTGTGTTTGGGGAACTTAGAAGACATTCCAGTAGTATTGTCTTAGAGATTTCTAAATTAAAGTATCGTAGAAATTCCTAGTTTCTCTTGCGCTTTAATAGAGTCGATGGAAAATTTGAGAGCTGCCTAAATCACACGCTTGCAGGACTCTGCTGCCATCGTATGGCTGAGCAGCGAACTTCAGTCCAATATCAGCATGCAGGTAAAACAGGGGCCATAATGTCTCAGCTCCCAAACTTCCGTCTTGCTCCTTTTCTCGGTCACTGTGTAGGACACTTGTGTCATCTCACATACTCATCTTCTGAGTTCTTGCAGACTGTCCGTAAGGCCAGATCTGTGCTCAAAACTTTGGCCACCATAGCTTGTAATTCTCTTAACAGCAAATTTGCTAAAAGAAATTGCTGTTATAGCTGTGGCTATATTACTGTAACTGCTTAGACAATCTAGAGCACACATGCCTGAAGAATGCCTTGTGACTGCAGTCCATCAATAAAGCTACACCAGCAAAGTTCTTTTTACTAAAATCCTGTTGCATATGCTTTCTGAGGTAAGCTGCCACTTAGAAAATGGAGAATTTTCCATTTCTGCTGCAGTAGCCCAGATCCAAAAAAACTGGGATGGGAAAGCACATATGCAAAGCAGGCTGTCAAAACATAGAAGCAGGGTGCAGAGTGAAGACATGTGCTAAATTCGTTCCAGTACAGCCCCACTGAGGCGTAACGCCACATGGATATCTGTTTCTTGACTTCAGCTTGTAGAACCACGTTGCCTTATGCTTGCTTCTAGATGTAAGCTGGGGCATGTGGACAAAGCTGAACGTCCGCAGTGCTTTCCCTAGCTGTTACACTCAGTACCGGTTACTGGTAGTTCTTCTTGACCTCGGGGAAAACATTTTCTAGTATTATCGCATTAGCATCAGTTTAAAGTGCTGTTACCTTGTTCTTTCTCCATTACTAGGATCTTATTACCAGTTTCCAGAAATTCTTTTGTTAGATCACCATTCTCAGTGGAATGGATCTTTGGACTGCCTGTCTTTGCTTTCAAGGTTTTGGTGCCCTTTCTCCACCCAGCCTTCTGTCTTGTGTTTGCTCTTTGAGATACTGACTCTTGTCTCTACTGGGCGCATGATGCTGGGCTCCATCTGGTATATGAGAAGCTTTCCTTTTGTGTTAGTGAGTTTCCAGAGTGGGAGGCAGGACACACATATGGAAGCAACAGGCTGCCTTGAAAGAAATTAAATTATTGAGAGTATACCAAGAGCATTGCTTGTCTGCATTCACTCCTGTCACTGAGCTGCCCTGGAAGTTCCTTGCTAAAAGCTTGGCTAGTATGGATTCAGATAAATAATATCAGTTCAAATGTTCTAATTTAATTCAGGCTCAAATATGAGAAATCATTGCTTAAATAACACATTTGAATAATTATTTTGGGGAAAATCTAAGTTTTGCCTCCCTGTTTATGACAGCAAAGTGGAAAAGGAGATTATCAAGAAATGCAGAAAGGAAGTATACTGGTAAAATGGCTATTATATTAATGTCCTCTGGAGCATTTGAAGCTAAAGACTTGAAACACAATAACATATATTGTTGAAAATTAGGTAGTGTCCCGTTCAAGCTGAATTAGTTTCAGGTTCTCTGCCTTTTTTCTTTTTTTGTTGTTTTTTTGTTCTGACATACAGCTGAAAGAATTCTTAAGCTAAAAGATAAAAGAAACTTACTTTGCCCAGACATCTTTTTTCTAAGAATTCTTTTCACAAAAGTAAAATTTATGATCAATAAAGATAGTACACACAAAAAAGCTAAAAGCTGCATGGATTGTGAAAACTTAATAGTGTAAATACAGAATGATTGTCTTGGAAAATTTTTCTGCATTTTTCTTGTTCTGCTGCTCAGTGCTTTTGTGATCTATCTAGTTAAGTAAGTTGTAGTGTTTGTCTGCCGTTTCCATATTGCAGTTAAACAGTACTCCAAGACTGAGGATTTTATTGTTACTAGAACAATCAAACCTAAGAAGAATTGTGGATTGCATTCTAGGTGGTACTTCCAGTCAATCGCTTCTGTTACATGAATGATACATCTGTTCTTGTTATAGTTAACTTTCAATAGCTTGTGTAAATAAGCAGTTAACATGAGAAAAAAACAATTAAGTGGAAAGTTGCATTTGTTTGCTGTGTTAAATGCAAAAGTCTAAATAAAAGGCTTTTTACCTAGGCAAGCCACAAGTTTAGCAGATAAATCAGCACACTGTAGCAGAGATGTCATTTTTATCATCACCTAGTGATAATTTTTCAAATATAATAGGCTATTCCTAGTACTCAGCCTTACTGATAGGTAGCATAATATTACCGATTTGTCCAATGAACAGTTGGTTTTCTGGCTTTCTATTTTATGTGCATCGTCTTACCTGTGTTTCCTGTTCAAAAAAATTTAAACCAAGTCATTTTCCCCTACTTTATAAAGAAAAGACCATATAGAATAATAATAATAGGCATATGTGGAGGAGAAAATACTCATAGCTTGCTGGGAAAAAAGGAAAAAGAAAAGATTTATGCAAGCTGTTTGGGCACATGATGAACTTTATATCCATTAAAAGTTTGAGAGTGGAGATCAAGTGAGAAATAGATATGGGAGGTAAGAAAAAAGCATTAAATTGCTGTGTGACAAAGCAGCACTTAAACTGAAGTGACCTCCTTCATTAGCTGCTTTGAATGCAGCTTGTCCATAGGAGATAGTCTGACAGCACTGGTCATACAGATTTACTTGAGTTTAACAAGACTAAATTTTGAATGGGAATGGGGGTTGGATGAGAATCTTTAAAAAGTGTTTAAAAGCCTATCACTAACTTAAACCACTTTAATTCGGAAACAAGTGTATCTGTGTTCAAGATAGAGTAGTTTTAGAGGTTCTTAGCACAGCTCTTACCTTCTTTTAACTCTAGTAGCTACTTGTTCAGCAGATGTCCTTGTTAACTAAAGCTGAGTGTTTTCTGTAGCATTTCTCAGTCTCTAGTCAGGGATTAATGCCAGACCATCTGTATTATTAACTATCCACAAGAACAGTTCATCTTCACAGCGAAATTTTTTCTCCCTCCATGCATGGAGCAACCAGTGAGATAGGGCCTTGTTGATCGCTGGTCCGTGATGCCTGGTATTTGGTACTGCTTACTCTTGGGGAGAGGGAAGAGTTGGGAATCTCAGCTCTCTGGGATTATGGTCTTCATTCCCATTCAGCAGAAATTCATGAGGATGTGCCATCAGATTTCTGAAGTTTCTATGTTGCATTTGCTATTATTTATATTAGTAAAACTATTGGGGTATCTTGAATAATGATTTGTATCATATTGTCAGAGTCTTACTGTTTTCCAGAGAGGCTTTTTTTTTTTCCCAAAAAAATTTGAGGATGGTTATACTGATAGGTATCTTAATAAAGTAAAGATTTTTCTGCTTTGATATGAACAAAACCTAGGAAACTAATAGAGTCTGATGATAATGCTGTAGTAAATTGAGAGCAATATTGTCCAATATTCTTTTACATCTGATTAAGTCAGAGGGGCTTATTTGAATGTTTGTAGTGGCTGTAAATGGTATTCTTTTAACTGCTAGAATACACTTCTTTTCTTCAATCCTGAGCTAGGAAGAACGTGAGTAATGAAATAAGTACTTTTTTTAAAGCCTTTTCTAGGTAAATGCTCTGGGGTTAATTTGCTTTCTCTGTGGTAGTCAGTAAACATACTTAATGTGCAGAAGGTGTAATGGAATTTTGATTTGCAGTTGCTGAATACGAAACAGGAAAGCATCCCTTTGAGAGCACTGTTGTTTCCTCTCCACCAGAAGGCACTGCCTCCCCAAGTTCAAAAGCAAATGCATTATTTTTTTTTATTACCTTGGAATGTATTGAATTGGTGATTGAAAGTCTTATGGTCTATAATTCATGGATTTCTTTCTAAGCTTTTCTCTGGTCTAGAGCTCTCTTGTTTTTCACAAGAATGACATGATTTTGTGTTTCTAATAAAAATTGTAGATTGTGCAGCTTTGAACAGAAACATTTTTCTGATTTGTTCTTCCTTCCACATGCCCATTCTATTGCAGCAATGGTTCCTATTTTGAAAAGGTACAGTGACTTCATTTTACGAGATTTGTGTTATAAACTTTTCCTGAGGTTTTACCGCTTCCTAAACCTCAGAAGTATCAGATGGCCTGCAGTACCATTGCAGTTCCTTCCCTGTCACATGGATGAATGTACTGAACAACACTCTCTTTGCGAATGTGCTGGAGATTGGGAGCTTTTTTGAAGAGTTTTCCTTACTGTATGTACAGTCAGCCTGCTCCCACTCTTTCTAGAATAAAGACATCTGCATGGGAGCAAATCATGGAGCTTTGCTTGCCTCTTTCCTGAGGGCTCCTTATGGCTGAGCAAGGAGGAGGCTTTGGGTGGGATTATCATGTCAGGGAGCACCCTGGGCCTTCGGGAGCAGACACATCCAGTAGGCAGATATATCTGGTCTGTGACTTTCATCCTGAAAAAAAGACATGAAAGCTGTAAATTGCATCCCTGTTTTGATAAAGCCTGTGGCATCACAGTGTGCTTCCAGAATGGCGTTAATACTATTTCTTAGGCAGTTCAGTATTTGATAGTATTCAGTATTATTGGAACACTCATCGTTGCCGTAAAATTAAAACACTGAAAACATAGAAAGCATCTAGTTTCCTTCTGGACTCCATTGTAGCTTTCCAGAATAGAACCAAGTCTCTTCAGATAACATTTAGAAGTCCTTGAGTCTGTATTTATGTGGTACATCTTTTGTATTTCTAGCATTGGACTCCTGCAACAGAAATACAGAGTAATAGAAACTTAAATTGAGTAATAGTTTATAAGAAAGAGGGGCTGTTTCAGCTTGGTGTTTTCTGTGTCCATTTACATTTTCACCATGTTTTCTTCAAAAACTAGGTACAAATTGCACTGAGTATAGGCTAGGTTGCTAAACTACATCTACGTTTTCTGCTGTCAGTTCCCATATAATGAAATGCATTGAGTTGAGGAATGCGCATTTGTGCATACTATAGCTCTCTCAGCTAGTTTTGATTATTTGTAATAGCCCCAAATTGCACTTGATTTAGCTTGCTGTAAATTTTGGTGGTGGTGAATTGTTGTATTTCAAGGGGTAACAAGGCTTAAGCTTGCATTCTGTTCTCATTATAAAAGGAAAAAAAAAAAGTTGAGATTTGAGATTTCTAGTTAGTCATAGATTAATTATGGTTTAAAAAGAAGACCTAGTTCCTTTGTTGTACCCTAAGAAGATCTCTCTCTTAATAGTTATAAAGGAGTTTCAAGAGTATGTAGAACCTGAAGAAGGCTACCAAGGATCACCTCAGAGACGAGGCCCTCCTTCTGGCCAAGAGGATGAACATGTGTCTTTGCCACTTGGAGAAAATGTGCTGACTCACAATCTTGGTATTCCTGTGCTGGTAGTTTGTACAAAAGTGAGTTTCTAGTTCCATTTGCTGCTGTGGAAAAGTTTAATTTCTTTTGGAAGGCATGCTTTATACAGAGGTGCAGAATGAATTCTGGATTAATAGTAAAGGTATTTTTTTTAAAAGCAAGCTTCTGCTATCAGTGTCACGTTTTAATTTTGCTGAAAGGTAATAACCTTATCAGTTATATGTTAATTACTTTATCTTTTGATTTATTGATGGCATTTTAAAACCAAAAGCTCAAAGTAAATGTGATGCGTCTGTAAGACTAAGGAAGTTTTAAGATGTGCTGGCATTAAATGACTGTGTTTTTCTGGTTTTGTTTTTCTCCCTTTCTTCCAGTGTGATGCAGTGAGTGTACTAGAGAAGGAGCATGATTACAGAGAAGAACACTTCGACTTCATTCAGTCACACATTCGTAGATTCTGCTTACAGTGTATCCTTTCCTGCGCTGAAGAGATTTGCTGTAATCTGGAAGCAAGAAAGTACCTTTCAGTGTTCAATTGCACATAAAATTAATCTGAGAAATTGCACTTCAAGATTGCTTGGTGTGTAGTTATTTACTAGGTAGCATTTGTTGTTTCAAAAATGTTGAGAGATGTATAAAGCTTTTTATAGTTCTTAAATTGTGCATGAGATTTGGGGCTTTTGTTCCTTTATAGAGGATTTGTTTTGCATTTGGTGAGGTGGTTTTTCTTGGTTTTCCCCTCAGAACTCACAGTTTTCACGTAAACTGCAGATCTGAGCTGTCTCTTAAGTTTTTGACTTTTTCAAAGTTAAGTGCCTGGCAGGATAGGTAACATTTCTGTATGTCAAAGAAAGGTATCATGACGTCTTCTCCTGTTATACCCCCTTCCTCTCCCCAAATACTAAATGGCTGTAGCTTTTGCCTTACTTCTCAACATCAGGTCTAGTAGATACATGTCCATTACCTCCTGTTTTGAAATTCTTACTATAATTTAAAAGCTATATCTTTCATAATTTTCCTTAAATAAATAATCAGATGGGGCTGCCTTGATTTATACATCAGTTAAGGAGGAAAAGAACCTTGATCTGTTGTATAAGTACATTGTACATAAAACTTACGGTTTTCAGTTTACCACGCCTGCCTTAGTGGTAGAAAAGGATGCAGTTTTTATGTAAGTCAATTGTATAAGTAATGTGGTTTCAGATTGTTTTTTATTAAGCACTACACTTCATATAACATATATAAATAACTTGAATGGTTTGTGTTGTTCAAAAGCTTAGTATGTGACTCTTCTGAAATCCTGAATTAAAACCCCAACATATTGGGTTACTTGACTCAGAGTATACCACACCAGCTTTTTACTATCTTTGGAATTGAGCTGAGGATTAGGACTGACCTATAATAAAATTGCCATATTCAGGTGGAGGGCAGTAAGTAAATGGTCTCTGTAGAAGTGCTTTTTGTGACTGAAAAGGCAAAGCTTTCCTTCTTTTTTATAGACCTGCTGGTTGGGACAATGAAAAGAAAATTGCCATTTTACATGAAAACTTCATAACAGTGAAACCAGAAGATGCATATGAGGACTTCATTGTAAAACCTCCTGTAAGAAAGGTAAAAAAGGGTAAACTTTTCCCTGTCCTCCCACAAATAAGTGCAGTTTGCTTGAATAGCTATTAATATTGAAGAACTCAAAATCTAAATACAATTTTTTTCTGTATCCAAATGTGTGAAACATCAGGCTTTCGTTTTCCAGCTGTTTAAAATACTGCAAGCGAACACAGAAATTACTTACTTTTGTGCATGAAAGGCAGTCCAGATATCACCATTTCACATGAACCTTTTTGTACGCGTGGGGCAAGACTGCTTTCTGAAAATGGACATTACTGTTGTAGGGCTTACACAATTTACATATGGCACTGAGGTTACCACGTAAAGGTAAATCTTGTAGAAGACGACAGTATATCACTATCACATTAACATACTATTAATAACATATTTCTTCATGTAAGGCAAGAGCAGTAAATAATCCATGTGATTTCTATATATATTGCTGATTTTGTGAGTACAGGCACACAATGGATATAGGATATGTCTAAAATGGATAATATGGAAAACTATAGATTTTCTTTGTGTTTGGTTTTTAAAGAGTAAAGAATGGTATTAAAGATTTGCCTCTTTTTCTTCCCTTTTGATCACTAAAACATGAAATCAGTGAGTTTTTTCAGTTTTTATTTCTAATAACAAAATATTTTGTTCAACAGTTAGTCCATGATAAAGAGCTGGCAGCAGAAGATGAACAAGTATTTCTTATGAAGCAGCAGGTAAGAATGGAAGAATGAAAGTAAGACCTTACTAAATAAGAGTTCACTTTAAGCTCTCCACTGTTATTGCCTTCAGTTTTTCATTCCGCATTGAAATCACTAGATAGCCACTTTCCAGCTTTGCAAATTCAAATGTGATTGTGAAATAACTTTTATTTTTAACAAATACGAGTACAAAATATGGCACTTGGCAAGTTGAAAGGAAAATAGGCTGAGAACAGAAATAATTTACATTTCAAAGGAGAAGAGCAAGAAGATAATTTAAAATTTCACAACATAGATGTGTTGATCTTCGATACTTTTAAGACATCTTTTAATAACATCTTAGTGTTGCAGTTTTCTCACAGTCAGAGGCTTGAAAAACTTTTAAGGTATGAAATGTGGCTATGCTGTACCTTGTTATTTTATTTACTGCTCTACTGCTTAAAAACCCCCTAATAATACTTCCCTGTATAGTTGATTATAAATATCATAGAGGTTACAGACCTTGGTGTCTGCGGTTGTGGCTTATAGTTCTGGAACGACTGTGTAAGACAAAGGATTGAAGTTTGTGCATTTTAACACTGTTCTCTAGTGGTAAAGTCTGGAAGTATATAAATATCAAAGAGGAAGCCTGTAAATATCAGAAAAAACAAATTAATTGCTTCACTGTATTTTATTCCTTTATATTTGCTGAAATACATTTAATATTCTTAATATGTTGTTTTTGCAGTCATTCCTTGCCAAACAGCCAGCAACGCCTACAAGAGCATCAGTAAGTAAATCCAAGAGAAGAGTAGGAGGTGTTTTGTTTCTTTCTAGGAAAGAGGGAATGATTCTAACCTGTGGACAAAATGGTTACAACCATTTTGTAAATGTAAAATACAGAATCTCCTCAAACTGGAAAAAAAGAAAAAAGTGGCAATATTTTAAAATGTTGCTTACAAATCACTTAATTCTAATTCTCTGTGGAAACAGAAATATCCAGTGATTATCAAACTGAAAATTTCCTACAGTGATTCATCTTTTCTTTTAGTGGAGGCACATGCCCCAGTTAACTGGAATTGTTTTGCTTGAGGTTTTTTTTCCCCAGTGTGCATGTACTACAGTGCCAATTTAAAGATTTAAAAAGTAATTTGTATGTAATGTTACATTTGCTTTATGTAAGTAGTCCATTTAAGTTCTTCTCTGATTTGTGTGATTTGGACTTTTTTTAAGGAATCTCCTGCAAGAGGGCCTGCAGGATCCCCAAGAACTCAAGGCAGAGCTGGTCCCGCCAATGTACCCAGTGCCTCACCAATAACATCAGTTAAGAAACCAGATCCAAATATTAAAAGTATGAATAAGCTTTTTACTGTTTTTATTATTTCCCTTAAGAAAATCCCCTTGTGTAGAAAGATTTTGGAATTTATTCACTAATGGTATAGTTAGTTTAATAACAGGAATTAATGACATAGCTTTAGGTTTGATTTTCCTTATTTTTCCCTTTTTTTTTTTTGAGATATGACTTGAAGTAGAGTTCTGTTATTGCCAAGCAGTCAGTCAGAGTTCAAATACGTTATTTCCTTAAGTTGCCTAAATACATTTATTATGCATCCATTGGATTATTAGAGTGGGGACTGCTTTAAACTATGTGCAGTTTTATACTTCATATCACTTATTCTGGAATCCACAATGGAACCTGTTCTTCTACTAAACCCTCCTAGACTGTCATTTTCTGTAGTACATGAAGTAACTTGGAAATTACACCCTCTCCCCTCCCTCAGCCCTAAGATGGAGCTCCATGTTGTTGAGTGGTTTCTTTCCCCTCTCTGCATTAAGGAAGTTGGTAGGGCCAGTATTGTTTTTAATTACGCGCTGCGGTGCCGTACCTCACAGTGGACAAAATACTCGTGCAGTTCTGGATCATGTCTCGTTGCTGTATATCCAAGTTCTGATTTATGAGGAGTAGTGTGGCATGAAAGACTGCACTAAAACGTCTGTGCAGTTTGTTCATGGACTTATAAGTCTTTGAATTGCACATCCATACTTAATACTTTGTTTCTTGGCTTCTACATTTAGAAAAAACAAAAGCATACAAATATTTAGATTAAAATGTTGTGACCCTCCCCTCATTCCAGAAGAGGGGGATCCATTCTATCATTTACCAGCAATAACTGTTCTGTGATATATATATTTTGTTTTGTTTTTTATTTAGATAACGCTGCAAGTGAAGGTGTCTTGGCTAGTTTCTTTAACAGTCTCTTGAGCAAAAAGACTGGCTCTCCTGGGAGTCCTGGTGCTGGAGGAGTGCAAAGTACAGCCAAGAAATCAGGTATTGGACTTGTTATTGCAGGCCGTTTTGTATATTTTTAATATTTTATTTGGCCCACATTGGTCTAACTGCATCTTTTAAATAGGTCAATAAAGTGACAGACCTTGACAGACGACAGTGCCAAAATGTGCAGTCTTTAAAAAAAGAACTGCTGCAACTTCATAACTCCAGGGCTTCTATTAAGCCTGTCATAAATTGAGTCTTAGGGTGAAGTTATACTGCAGGGATATAAATAACATTTGAGTCCTGATCATGTTCAGAAGTGCTGCTTTTTAAAAATTTTTTACTTTAGAATTTCTTCCTTTCTTGACACTTAACTGTTGCTTGAAGGAAATGCAGTTTATTGGGTTTGGACTGTAGTTTCCAGGCAAACTATTGAAATCTCTCCAGAGTTCAAGTTTACATGAATTACTTCTTAGAACAGCTTGAAGTTATTCTCTCATTATTTAGTATTTTATTGTGATGCAACACAACCGCTAACACTGATCAAGTGGCTTTGTGCTGTGTATGTGCCTATGATTTCATTGTATGGCTGATAAGTAATTGCACTGAAACCCTTCAGAATACTTAGTACCTGTACAAAACTCAGTGTTGTAAAATGCATGGTTATTCCTCCCGATATTAGAAATTTACTACTTTGATTATTTCTTTTTGATATTGGCATTCCCATAGCACTTACATTCAGGAGCTTTCCTTCCAGAATTATTTCCCTACTAAATTATTGATAGATATTCTACTTATGAAACCAGGTAAAATGTAATGGTGATGCGAAACCCATGGTTTCTGATCCCTAGAGCAGTGTCAGGCCCAGACATTCTGAACTGGAAATAAATATATGATATTGCCAGTGGATATTGCCAGTAAGAGAACCAGAGCAGTTGTTGGAGTGTTGGTATTTGAACTGAAACTATTCCTGGGGAGAGGGAAGTAAAGATATTTTTTAAAATTTATTTTTATTATTTTTTCT